ACGAATCCCCCCATATGCCCCCCCTGGCTACGCCACTGTGCTATTATATTTGTAATGTGGCATCCGTTCAGGAAAACAAATATTTAAATATAATAAATAAGACAAAAGAAAGTGAACGAGTAACTGAAATAGGTATATTTCTGTGATAAACTGTGCAGTGTTTGTTGTAGCAAAATTTCACTGAAAACAACATTTTTCGAAAACCGACTACTTTAGCTGCATAACAGCAATTTTGTTGAATGGCATGCTGCCCCGCCGGCATTCAGTATGCGCGCAGCATGAAACAAATTTCCAATCAAATAGCAGCTGCCAACGAATTTTTGGCCGGGAAATAACGCAAAGGAACAAGTATTCGTAGAAGTGTTCGCGGAAGAGGAAACGGAAACAAAGTTGTGAACTGATCAAACAAATGAAATGGCANAATAACGCAAAGGAACAAGTATTCGTAGAAGTGTTCGCGGAAGAGGAAACGGAAACAAAGTTGTGAACTGATCAAACAAATGAAATGGCAGCAAAGTTATTGCAATGCCGCCGAGGCAACAGAGCCTGATGCCACACAAAGCAACAGCAAGGACAGCAATAGATAAGATNAGCAAAGTTATTGCAATGCCGCCGAGGCAACAGAGCCTGATGCCACACAACGCAACAGCAAGGACAGCATAGATAAGAATGGCGAATGCAGCATAATGAGACAAATCGATGAACAAATAAACGCGTCAAGGGTAGATAAATATGTACATAGTACGCGCTGGTGGCGCAAGCAAACAAAGTGATAAAGTAGTTAGCTGCGCCGCAGATGAAGCTTCAGCGAGCACAAGTGCTATGCCACACAGACAGCCGTAGCCGACATTGAGAAGCAATTTTACTACCTGCCTACATAGATGATTGCTGCAGCTGTGGCATTGAATTGCTTGTTTACCCACCTTTGCTCATCTGTTATTTCTCGTTCTCGTTGGCATTACCAAAAGCGCTTTTGATTGGAATTAGAAGCACGTGCAGTTGATTGGTTGGTAATAAAAGCGCATACATACCTACACACGCCTTTCATTTACTTTTTATGCACGCCGCCAGCGATTGATAGCGGAGAAACACTTTGGCATTTCCATTGGAATGCTGTGCTTTGTTTATTAACCTTTGGCTATACGAAGGTACAAGGATGTGCTATGTTAGCCGTGCAATGGCCAAGCTAAGCGCAGGCGCTGAGTTGTTTTCATTGAAATTGCAGGTGCCAATGATAGCTTTGTTTTTGATGTGGATTTGCTTTTGATTCGAAGTGTTTTTCCAATTGTTTTTTTTTTTTTGCATTTGGTTAAAAGGTTCGCGCTTCACTTTGAGTGCGAATGCCGTGAAGCGCAGGATGGCATTGTGGATAGTTCAGGGATAGTAAAAATAAATAATAAATACAAAATATGTACATATAAAATAAGAAAATTCAAGGTTTTTTATTAATTACTCGAAGTGGGTAAAGTAATTGAAAGGTTGAATATCTTTGAACGCCGAGTAGCAAATAAAAATGATGCACAAAGGGGCAAGATAAAATGTATAGGCGTTTGACAATATGCTCATATTTAAATAGGTTTTTCATTTCAACTCGCGATTATTTTGGGATTTTGTGGCTCTTGTTAAGAGATTGTACTTTTTCGTCTTCTCCTTATAGGCATCACAACCGCGTGTCGGTTTGTGGCTAGTCCAAAAAACTTTGCCAATCACCTTTGTCAAGCTACGCCAGTTCTTTACACCAAGGTCTTTTTGCACTTGATTCTTCCATTTTATACAAGGGCGCACTTGCTTTGGTTGTGCCTTCTTGTGTGCCAAGTCGAAGGATATTTTCATTAGATCATCATTATTTATAGAACGATATATAAATACAAGCCATTGCGAATATTGAATGCGCTTCAGTGTTTCCTTGTCATTGTAAAGCTTGTACAATTCGTAATTTCATGCTGTTTGGTACCCGTCCTCTACGTAAACAGGACCATAGATAGAAGGACTTTGATTTTGAATTGCCTCCCGAGCCCAAATTAGCACCTGTTACCGGCTTTACTCTTTCCTTGATCGCCAGCTGTATGCTGGAACTAAGGTTGAACAGCGCGAACAGTGACTTATTTGCCGATATATGAAAACACTCAGTGTGTTGTCAGGCGATATGTTTTATAATCCTACATCTCTGTGTAGCGCGTTGCCTAGTTTAGACATATCATAAATACGATGCGCCAAAAGAAATAAAATGTCATTAGCGTAGTCAATGAACTGGACAGTGACATCCGAAGACCGCAGCCGGGAAGTGGCATCATGGCAGTGTCCAATGCATTCCCTATCACCAAAAGAAAGATAAGAAAGATGGGAGTATGCAACCTTGTCGAACCCGGCTACGAATTCCGCCATAAAGGATGCGAGATTTTAGTTTTAAGGATTTGAATCCAGCATCGTAATTAGCGACCCCAAAAATATTTTGGTCGGGTTTTTCGATTTTCAAGGATTTGGGACACCGTTAAATGGTAGACTTACCAGGCCTGAAGCCACAATAAGTTGGTTCATGAATTCTTATCCCACTGTAATCGGTAAACAAAGCGAATTTTCTCTTTTGTGGACTAACAAAGTTATTATCATTGTATTTACTCCTGAACCAAATGCGGTTAACATCTGGCACATACGCCCGATCACCTCTTCGCTATCAACTTTGAAAAGCTCATCCGGCATACCATCGGCTCCGAGGACATTGTCTAGTTATTGCTGCTCTCACATTGTCTTCGTTTCGAATGAGGAGGACGAGAACTTAACTAAACGTCACCGGTGTCGCCATTAAACCGCTCGGTATCTACACTTTGCTCTGATTATTTGTTCCATAATTTTCTTTTCATTTTAGGCAAAAACAATACTCGGTCTGGAAGCTATTTGTCAGTTGCATAATTTTCTGATACAATTTTAGAGCTACCCTTCGTAAGCTCTTTGTGCTCACGTCTTTTGAAAAAAAAAGTTGCTTCTTCTCTTTCTAAACTAAATTTTCACTCAGTAACTAGTTATTGGCTATATATAGGAGAGGTCATATATGATGTGCATTTCTCTAGCGGCCGCTGTGTTTGAGTGGTTACAGGTGCGTACTATTAGTCCATGGTTCGATCTCAGGTCCGAGCAAGATCTAAAGTAGGAAAAGTTTTTTCTAACATGCGGTCACCCCTCTGCAGGCAATATAAAACCTCCGAGTGTATTTCTGTGATGAAATCGGCGTAAAACTGTAGGTTCCTGAATTTGTGTAATAACATTAAGACACACACCTAAAATTGGCGGAGAAGCTCGGCCAAACAATTATAAAACGAGTAAGTCCAAAAATATTATTACTGTTGTTATTTCCCTCATACCTCCTAGTGGGACAACCAGATCTGATTGGAGGATTAACCCCTCTAAGACAGAGTTGGTATTGTTTCAAGGAAAACAAAAGTAACAAATTTTTTCTGCCGAAATTATGGGAAACTACTTAGAACTNATCTCAGGTCCGAGCAAGATCTAAAGTAGGAAAAGTTTTTTCTAACATGCCGAAATTATGGGAAACTACTTAGAACGTCTCCCCTCGGAATCATTCTGAACTGCAAGTTGAATTGGAAATATAATTTATAGGAGGGAGCCCAGATATCTCTAGCATCAGACTACACGTGCAAAACGACCTTCGGAAAGCACCGTACGACACGTATGGGATATGCACAAAAATCATCAGACCAGTTGCTAGCCACGGTCGTTACTATGGTGGAGAGCTCTAGACAAATGGAATAACAGCAAATCGGGAGCAGTCTGTAGCGCACCTGCAAAGATCGCTCTCAGGCTCCAAGAGGGCAATACGTGGAAGGCAACCAATTTTAGGTATGCAGCAACACCGAGTGAAATAAAAAGGTGCCGGCTTAATGGAATCAAAGTTGACATAGAAGCCAGCACTGATTACATTACGCCTGTTTGGAACTTCAATACGAAGGTATCTATTAGGTTTCTGCCCAGAGAAGAATGGGATGCAGGACTCCTAGTAGCAGAGGAGTTGTGATGTCCATCTAAACTGACGGTTCAAAGATTGAGCAAGGAATCGGAGCCGGTCTCCACTCGAATAACCTGCAAATTAGTCCAGTATTTTCAATATACCGAACGATTGTACGTTATGGAGAGGGCGGCTAGTGTTTGACTTAGTGGCTCCACAAGACAAAGCCACTATATTTGAATCTAAAATAGTGGGGTCGGAAATTGTTTGGCAATCTTACATCACACTGGCGTCACAGAACCGTACCGACGTCTCTCTATGCTGGGCCCCGGACATAGCAATAGTTAAGAAAATGAGTCGGCTGATGCGATGGCCAGATGCGGCTCAGAGATGCCAACAGAAGAAGCGAATAGCTTCTTACTACCACCGTTTAGTGATCGCGTTAGAAAAAATTATGAATACACCGAGGCTGCCACTAATGACTTATGGAAAAAACGAGTTAAGGTATGGAATACTCCACATACGCCCTTCTAAACCAGCCTAACCTATTATTTCTCTGCAGCAACGATACATACGGATACATTAGCTCTTCGGATGGAACGCACATCAAGAACGCTCGAAGCATATCTTCAGTTTATGACGTGTTCAGCTTGATTTTAGTTTCTTCGATCGAAAGATATAGAAAGGGCTGCGCGGATACATTTCCGCGTAGTAATGTCTACACCTTCGGACCGTTTAACAAAATATTCCTGCTTTGCCAATCCTAGCGTTAAAGTGGCCATTTATCACTTTTTTGTATTAAAAATAAACCTTATATTAATTTCTCTAACTAAGGCTTAATATTTATAAAACAAACCAAACATTTTGATATCGGTTCCCAAATATATGTGACAAAAAATTTATAAAATTATTAAAAAACATGTTATAAAAAATAGAAAATATTTGTATATTTGTATGCACTATCCAATTTTGGCATAATTTCATACTCACACCACCATATCCTACTCCTTCTAACGACTCACTTTTCGTCATTCTCTAGGTTACCGTCATCGACACCTCTGATCCAGATTGGTGGCAAGGTAAGCTGCTGGGCCGCGTCGGTTACTTTCCATCCAAATATTGTGTACGACTGAACGCCAATGAGAAACCGTTACAAGTTACACATAATTTGCAAGTGTCAGATGGTGAGCGAGGAGAAAACATGACGCTCCTCAGAGATCAAATAGTTATACAGGTACCGACTATTTTCAAAATGATATGAAATCTCCTAACATTACTAATTGTAATGCCTTGTGTTTCTTTTCTTTTTCCTACTCTATAATCCAGACTGGCGATGAGGTCAACGGTATGGTGATGGTACGTTCTGCAGACAATCGTCAGGGATACTGTCCCGTCAAGTACCTGCAAGAGGTGTGACAGCCAAAAGAGCCGCCAGCTGAACGTGACAAGCCGCAGAAGTCTTCGCTGTCATCAAAACTTTTAGATAAAACGAAACGTAGAATAAGAATTGTTGTATCCGAGAATGGTGGCAGTGGCTACAATAATTTGAGCCGCGAACCGAGCGCTCCTCCTGCCGAACATGAAATGAAGAATATAAATATCGATTATCATGGCGATTATGGGGAGCCGAGTAGTAGTGAATACTATGGTGGTTTTGATGCTGCCACCAGTGGTAGAAGTAAGAATGACAAGAATTGGGAGAACTGGGAGCGCATAAGAGAACAAAAATTAGAGAAAATGAAAAATATTTGCTTTGAAAGTTACCGTCAATCGAAACGAGATCGAATGCAACAGGCTAAACCGAAACCGAAACAACTCGACCCATCGTGGTACACAGACAATATTTATTCAAATCGTTCCGAGGATCTTGAGGAGGACTATGTGCCAGAGTGCCTAAAGTATGGAACGTATCGCAAGCTGCGCAACATACGCGAGCAAGATGAATTCTTTGTGGAGGACGACTTGGATGACGTGCTGGTGCCAGAAGTGGGCGGTAAAGGTAAACGTGGCGAAGGTGAAGGTTCACCTGGCTATGGTTTGCATCGCTCAATCAGCTGCAAAGAGTTTCAGTATCCAAAGTCGCAGAGCTGTTATATGATGAGTGGCGGCGGCAGCTATGAAGGCGGTGGCACCACCTCAATCTTGAAGAAAACCAATGTGCCCAAATCGTATTCGTTCAGTGCGACAACGTCCAAGACGACACCCTTCGATGTCATGGACTACGAACTGCCACATGCGGGTGCAACGCGCCGTGACAAACAGGAGGCCTTCCGCAAGTCCGCGGGCTACTACTGCAGCAGCAGCCTTGACGAGAGCACGCTGGCGTACGCGGCTCACGAAGCACCGACGTCACCGCCGCCGCCGCCAGCGCCGCAGCCGTGTTGTGCGCGCGAGCATTGCACCAGCGCCAAGTGTTTGCTAGATGAAATCTACCCGTGCTACCCGGCGGCGGCCGGACGCCGCACATGGCGCAGCCGTGGCACGCCCGTGGGCATGTATGGCGCTGGAGCCAGCGGTGGTAGCAACAGGAACCTACACACCGCCTCCACCTCCGCCGATTGGATCGAGGAAAGAGAACGCGGTAGCCATCGTGTGGCANCGGCACCACCTCAATCTTGAAGAAAACCAATGTGCCCAAATCGTATTCGTTCAGTGCGACAACGTCCAAGACGACACCCTTCGATGTCATGGACTTCGAACTGCCACATGCGGGTGCAACGCGCCGTGACAAACAGGAGGCCTTCCGCAAGTCCGCGGGCTACTACTGCAGCAGCAGCCTTGACGAGAGCACGCTGGCGTACGCGGCTCACGAAGCACCGACGTCACCGCCGCCGCCGCCAGCGCCGCAGCCGTGTTGTGCGCGCGAGCATTGCACCAGCGCCAAGTGTTTGCTAGATGAAATCTACCCGTGCTACCCGGCGGCGGCCGGACGCCGCACATGGCGCAGCCGTGGCACGCCCGTGGGCATGTATGGCGCTGGAGCCAGCGGTGGTAGCAACAGGAACCTACACACCGCCTCCACCTCCGCCGATTGGATCGAGGAAAGAGAACGCGGTAGCCATCGTGTGGCAGCGGCTTCGCGCTACTCCTTGCACTCGGGACGTGGTCGCGATCACGAACGTGAACGCCACAGCGATCGCGAGTGCGAGCAGGCACCGCCGCCGCCACCAACGGTCGTTTGTTGCTGTGTCGCCGATGACTATTGCTACCACCGCCAGCAACAGCGCCATATTGCCAGGTCGCGTTCGCGCCTACACTGTCCCGGCCACCATCCGGCAGCCGAGGAGGAAGAACATTCACACTGCCGCGCCGTGGCCTACGACACCGATCTCGATCATTTTATACGCGACGAACGCGAGCGTCTACAGATGCAGGACAAATTTCTCGATGAAGATGAACGCTATCTGTCCAATGCCGGACCAAGTTCACACTACGCCTCGCAATATCGACGTCCAGCACGTAGTAAGTCATTGCTGGAGGTGCAACCGCCAAGCCGGTACGACGATGATACATGTTCAGACTCCACCGAAATGGATTTGGAGGACTTCAATGTCGACTTGGAAAAATACTGGGCCGAATTGGATAAACCACCAAGTCCTGTAGATTTAGATATGCAGCGACGCAATATGCAAAGCAATCTTAAGGCAAAGAATGTAAATGTCGGCTGTTACAACAATGGCCAACCCATCGATATGCACGATCGCGAGCAGGAACGTATGATGATCAAGAAGTCGCTACTTGAGGGCATGCCCTCTCCACCACAGGTGGAGTCGTCGGCGCCAGACGGCTGCGCAATGCACCATGGCGCCCATAACTCCAGTGACTTTAATTTTTTTGAGCAAGCGGGCTCCCCCCTTCACCGCGGCTACAACTATGGCCACAAAGTTTACCCGGTCGCGGATAGCCTACCCTCATATAAATACAATAATTTCTACACCGAACACGAGGTACAGACCAAACAACCCACCACCGGTGGACATCACCCCTCCGCCAGTGGTAACTCTGCACTCAGTCTGATCAACAATATATTCTCCATCTACAAGCCAAATAAGTATTCAGCCCAAAACTGCCAAATGAATGTTGAAGCCAAACCCGAGCCGTGCAAAAAAATGAATGTACCCACAACACGTCGACACCTTGGTTCAGCACCACATCCCGAGTATATGCACTCAATGAAACGACCAATGTTAGTCAGCACCGATCAGCCGCAATTCAAGATTATACCAGAGAAGACGGGTCTGAAAATTACACCGCTATATACTTATGAAGACTATGTCATCGATAAGCCACAATCACGACATAAACTGGGTGGCATGGTGCGACCGGTGGTGCCCCCGCACTGATGGTGCTGGACCTTTCCATGGTATGGCGGTTGTTAGAAAGCTTGAAGGAGCTGATGAAAGGGACATGAAACTGGAAAATTATATTCTGAGTGACGCCAGGCTATAAAAAAAGTTGGCAAAGATTGTGCAGCAGTAAAAAGTTTTAGGGTGAAAGTTCACGGTAGCGGCGATGGTGTCTTATTCGTAAAGATATAGCGACAAGAAACTGCGCTTAAATGTGGTGCTATTTAACGCACAAAACGGGCTTTAACCGCAACATCGACCAAGCCAACCAAAACGACGGTGAAGAAATGTTAGGCATATTGAGCTAAAAATTAGTAATAATCAACCTATACCTTGGTTCAAGCTACTGTGTCGCCACCACCAGCAACACCATAGCCAAGCCATGAACCCCGTCAATGTCATCGTCCTCTTCGATACATCACCAATTTTTGCGCCACTTTTATTTTCCAATATTTTTAACATTTCGATTTCGGTTTAGTCAACTTCATACAGCTCCAAACTAAATGAAACATTGATAGATAGTATTGAGTCTCCGACGGGTACTAATAACCAGTACGGGACTTGCGTTGTTGGAAAGTACGTTACCATACCACTGGAAAATAAATATTAGCACGTTGTGATATGTATAATAAATCTCTATTTATTGTATATCTTTGGGATGCCATTCATGATACAATGAAGGGGAAAGAAAAAGAAGACAGGAAGTACCAAGCAGCTTAGATGTGTACGCGCGAGTATTTTTGGACGCAGGAGCTGCCCCATAAAATTCGCATCGCATTTTGATCTCCGGACATTAACGTTAATTATTCGAAAGCTTCCAAAAAAAATAGTAAATTTCTAGCAAATTTAGAAGACTAAAGTTTGGGGGTTTCGGGCTATGTATTCTTATTTCTTCCGTAGATTATAATTTAATTAATATAATTTGATCAATGGTTACTGAGTTATCAAATTGTATCGAGCCGCAGAAATTTGGCTGTCGAAATGTACCGATTGTTATCGAGTTAGGAAAATTTATAGAATTATCGAAATTTATCAAACTACTGGAGTTTTATTTTATACGACATTGATTGGCCAAAATTTAGTGAGTTATTGAAGCTTATCGAATAGTTGTGATGTATCGAGTTCTTTCAAATTTTTGATATTTATTGATTTATCTAAATTTTTTTTTTTGTAGTTAACAAACTTTATCGGTTTATGGAATCGAAGTTTTTGAAATTTTCAAAGTATATCGGGTTATAGAATTACATGAATTTATCGAGTTTTCACTATTTACCGAACTGTATCGAGTTACCAGAGTGTATCGAATTATCGAAATTTGTCGATAGATATGGAAATTTATGGAGCTATCAACATGGAGTTATCGATATTTATCGAGGAATTTAAATTTTTGAGTTATCGAAATTTATACAGTTCTGAAAGTTCATAGTTATCTGAATTTATCGGTAGTTATCGAAATTTTTAGAGTTATCGAATTTTATCGACTTATCGCAAGTTCTTGTTTTCAAAAATAGGTTGCCACGTATTTGAAAATCTTTATTCACTTACTATATGGGTAGCTTTAGGAAAATTTACTGCCGAAAATAATTTTGAGGAGGGCTGTGCTCCCTCTTTGAAAAATGTTATTCAATTACATTACGGATATTAAACCAGAGAGGTTAAATAAACTTTACTGTCGAAAATATTTTTGAAACGGGCTGCCTCCTATTTTAAAAATTTAATAATTTAGTACACCTTTGAAGAAAATGTTTTATATGTAGACTCGAGTTATAAGATTATAAATTAAATTAAAAAAATAAAGTTTGCATGTTACATGCTTTCTAAATACCTTTGAAAGTTTATTAACTAACAACCACATTTATAAAAAATAATGAATGCTTTGAAAATCTGCTATCATAAAGCTCTTTAAATTTTTTTTGTATTTTTATGAATGAGGCCATAAGAGTTTTGGGAGGAAAAAACAACTCAAAAATATTGTTAGGGCACAGTGAAGCACGTCGGCTATATGCTAGTGGCAAACAAAGTGCTCGCTATACCCACATTGTACTGCAGCGCATAACATATCGAATCTGTTTATTGAGTTTAGCATACACTGAGGGAAATAATGCATAGTAAAAATGAATACTTTATATTTGATTATCGTTTAAAAATGTTCGATATTTAAAAATAATATTTTCATACAAAATTTATTACGCACGTATTTGACTGTTCACATCTGAGTATAGTATATGAGTGTACATATGCACCCCAAGCATGCAGAGCGCCGCTCTGAGAGCGGTGACAACACACACATTCATACATCGTACATGTTTATCCGCGTACAAATCGCGGGTGTAGCTGAGTGCGCAAAGATGCTTGCCACAAGTTGTTGATATCCGGAGATGGTCGGATTCTCGAATTCCACTGCAGGGAACATGCAAATATTTTTTTTTTTTTTAGTTTTTGTCTTGATTATTCACTTCACGGATGCTTTTTCAGTACGACGCGGTCATTTTAATATGAGCGTAATTGAATTGAATATTTACCAATATACAGTACTTTCGTTGACGTTTATAGTAAGATCAATTACGTTGCTATTTAATTTTAATATTTTTTCCCCTCAGTGTACAAGCGATTATCCGACGCAGCGCATGACGTAGCATGACAGCGAAGTCTGATGAATTCTTATTTCGCGCTATGTGACATTTTCAAAGAGAAATTGGGGCATATTTATAGTCGAAACAAAGACGACTATAAACAGTGTTGCCACACTGGCCTTTTCCTACCAAAACTGGTCGATTTTTTTCCATTTGGTATGTTGGTAGGCTAAATGGGATTTTGGTAGGTTTCGTGACAATGATTAATAGTTATTTGGGATAAATAGAAAATATGTATCTCCAAAAATTTTTGCAAACTTGTTTACACGAATATTTCACCTGCACATTCGTATAATGGCGACGGAAAACATGCATATATACCTGATTCGTAATACGGTGTTCGCATGAAGCGATTTTACAGGTAACTTATAGTTGAAAGCAAAAATCGCCTGGTGTGAACGGCCTCTCAACTAATCGCCTCTAAAATTGATTGCAATAGATCTTAGGTCACATAAGTCTGTAAAGTAAAATAAATTGTTATACGCAGTTAATTGGTTTTTATTGTACTAGTTGTGTCTTAGTTTTACTAAATGATTAGTTATCTACATTTTTAACAACCTTGACATTGAACAAAAATATTAAAAACCAAAAAGAAAATGTTTGGTAGGTTTTGGTAGATTTTGGTAGGAAAAAATGTGTCTGTGGCAACACTGATTATAAAGTTAGTAGCTGACTCTGGCAGATTCTGGCGCTCTATGCGTAGTATAATTACACCTCTGCTTCATATGCGGTGCTTGTCTATGCCCTGCACTTGCAATGTACATACATAAGTATAACCAGCTCCTAAAACACAAATTATTCAAGCGCTGAGAAAATGATTCGAGTAAATTCGCAAGCTCTTAATACTTCCGAACTAATTATGTTACATACATATTTTTGATTAGAATAAACCACCTAGACAAAATTTGGCTTCAAAAGCCTTAAAAAGTTAAGTTTCTAGGATATATTTTCTTTAAAAACGCTTTGTTGAAAAAAGTCAAGTTTGCATTAGATTTTATTGCATTATGTTTTCATGTTAGATTTTTTACACCACGAACCCCGAAATTTTGGTCTTTCTGTCAAAAAAAAAATAAATAAAACCTTCGATAATGCGCTCAAAGTTCTCTCAACTAATCAAAACAACAAGAAAAAGGCAATTCTAGAAGGAAAACAAATAAAATAAAACAATAATTAAACATGGGTAAACAATCATAAAATATACACAAAAATATATTTACACACAACTATACAAACATATTTAGAGAGAATCATCTAAGAAAACCAAAAGTCATATCCAAAAATTCCTACTTAGTGAAAATAGATGCGTATGCATATGTATGTATGTATTAGTGAATAGACAAAAATACAAAAAAAATTATGCAACTAATAGAAAAAACATATGAATGTAACGGATGACAAAAATGAAAACTCAACAAAAAATATGTATGAAGTAAGTGCATTTGTAGTAAACGCTGCAACGGTAGAAGGCAGACCATGAAATGAACTTAGCTCGGAGTTTATAAACACTTTTTGCAGAAGCAAACAAATATTTAATGAAGCTAAAATATTTAAAAAATAAATATCAATTTTTTTCCGATACATACAAATATATATGACATTTATAAACTTTTCTATTTTTTATACCAAAAATGACAACAACAATTTGATAATGTTATTTTTTTGGAGACTTGCATACATAATAACCTAACACATTTTCCAATTACAATCTAATACAATTTCGAACAAATAGTATATTGAGTAAGTATGTACCTACATATGTACAAATATGTGCATTGGATATGGCAAAAGTTTGTCGAAGCAACGAAAGCATCGTGAAAGTAAATGAAATTATAGAGCATACGAAATAAAACTTGACTGCTGAAATTGAATGAAAAGCTTCTAAGAAAACAAAAAAAAACAAAAAGCTTTTGTGAAAGCTTCAATGTGCGCGTGAAAGGTGCACAACACGCTGATATACATACATACGTGTGTGTGTGTGATTTTGGCAAGCGCACGTATGTATGTAGTAAGCAGCAGATGCTCTAAAGCAATTAAACAGTATGCTAAAATGATACAACTATAAAAAAGGTGAAGATGATAGCTTTTCGTAAAACAAAAAAATTTAAAAACTAGCAGAAGATGTGCAGAAAACGATATGATAGTTAAGTTAAAATTGAAATAAGCGGAATTTGCAGCACTTAGAACTCTTAGCACAGCTGAATGTTAAATGTTAAAGAAATTCATGAATTAATTCATTCAAAAAAAAAAGATAAGGATACATTGTGAAAATTGTAGAAAAACATAAATTAATTTCCAAAGAGGTATTAGAAAAATAATACTTACCTAAGAGAAAAATTTAATTGAAAACCTTACTTAGTAAATTAGTTTAAGAAATCAGAAGAATATCTTACGGCTAAAGCGCCCTTTTAGCATGTAAGTATATAATTAAGAAGCAGAAGAAGAAAACTCAAAATATTGAAAACGAAAAAAAAAAACGCATTTTAGCAAATCTTATTGCGAAATCTTATTGCTGACATTGAACGAAATATTAGAAAGCAAAAAATAATAATAACTTAGTACTTAGTATTCGCTTTTTTATAGTGTATCCACGGGCCTTATTTTTCAGCAAGCAAAAACAAAGAAACACAAAATGTAAAACGATTAAGCAAAATGCTAAGCGAGGCCAAATTGAAAAATGGCAGAAAACGATGTAAATTAATCGCGAAAATTTTTAACCTTTGTAGAGTGCGAACTGAGTGTTAATTACTAACTAATTGAAAATTATTCTAGAAGAGCACGCAAATGAATTTATTTACCATACAAATTTATTTTTTTTTTTCTTGCATTAAACTATTACTATTTTTTTTCCATCACCAAAAAAGAACTTCTTTTCTACTTTACTACACGCACTTCGTGTAAAAATTTGGTAACGTAATGCATTTTGCGGGAAAACTATTTTAACTTTTCTAATTTTTTGGTCAAA